AAAAAGAAGAAAAAGAAACAAAAAAACCATTTTATATTGAAGTAAAGGAATCGTTAAAACTTTTTGTTTCATCAAATGAAAATCCAAAGTTCCTCTATAGAGGATACAAAGGGTTGTAATACGATAATCGGTATACATTAATCATTAGGTTTTTCTTGTAAAAAAATAGGAAAATTTTTAAATATAGAAAAACTCCATTAAAACTTATGGAAAACCTTACAACATCCAAACTAAAGTAATCTATGGATAACAAAGAGTATATGTACTATAGTTATATAGTAAAGTCATTATGTAAATAAAAGAAAAAAAAAATCAAACACTAAAAAATGGGTCTGAAACTTGATGAATTTTCACCGAATCAAAAGAAAAACATTATACGCTGCCTGCAGGATTCGAACCTACGCGCCCAGAGGGCAATGCCTTAGCAGGGCATCGTGTTAACCACTCCACCAAAGCAGCCGACGATTTCCCCTTTTTCCAATGAATTCCCCTCTGAATATATTATATGGATGTATAGTACGTCTTCTGAACCCCATTCTTTTAGAATGCGAAAGGATTCCTTTATAAAATAAATGATGTTTTGACTTGCGTTTATGGAGTAGTTAATGCTACAACTAGATAGATATATTTGGTAACTATTTAATAAAAATAGGATGACTCTTTGTTGTTATATATTTAATACCTTTTTTTTTCTTTATTTTTATATTTTTATATCTCGTCTTTTTTTTTTACAACTTTCTATAGGTACACACTTTTTCTTTATTAGGTACACGTCTTTTTTGATGAGCAAAAGAATCTTTATCTTTTTCCTTAGAAAAAAAAAAACCAAGTTGCTACACTTATATAAAAATAAAGATGTATCCATAAGAATATTATGGAGAAATAGATACTAAAAACAGTAAAACTTATTGTTTTTATATGAAAAAAAGTAAAGAGTTTTTAATTTTTTTTTTTATAATTCAGGTGGTCACTTTTTTGACTTGCCATTTATGAAGCTCATTCTTTTTTTTTATTTTCCCTTTTAACTGATTATTACTCATTCTGCATTACAACATGAACACTTGTTGCATCTTGTTACAAAGTATACCAGCAGATAACTAAAGAAGCATCTTACACTCTTTATTAAAACACTCGCAAAGAAAATACCAACGTTTGTAAGCTTGTGTTTCTTTTTCCTTTCAACAGATGCACACCACAGTTCTTGGCATGTGGGTTAATACCTAAGCTGGTGATAGAAAAAATTCCGTCGACATTCTGTCCTTCGCTTTTCCAAATTCAATGCATCCCATTCATGTTGCATGCGACAATACACGAACAACCAAACCAAAAAAAAAAAAAGGTAGCATGTGTTTATACCTTGTATTCCTTGAATGAACGTAAAACGATTTTTTTTCCTTTCAACAGATGCACACCACAGTTCTTGGCATGTGGGTTAATACCTAAGCTGGTGATAGAAAAAATTCCGTCGACATTCTGTCCTTCGCTTTTCCAAATTCAATGCATCCCATTCATGTTGCATGCGACAATACACGAACAACCAAACCAAAAAAAAAAAAAGGTAGCATGTGTTTATACCTTGTATTCCTTGAATGAACGTAAAACGATTTCAAAGGAGAATCGAAAGATAAAAAAAACCATATCCCTTCACCAACTTGAATCTATGTTTGTATCTATCTGTTAAGGTGGACAGATATGACTGACTATGGAATAAGCCGATCTTTACTTTATATATACATACATTTGATCGTTTTCTTGCGTGAGCTGTTGGATAATCCTGAAATCACAATGACAGAGGGAAAACGACCCACTCTATTAAGCTAGCTAGCGCTCTAACTTTTGCGTTATCAGGTTGCAACGTATTAAATAGAAATCACATCCAACTTTCGAGGAAATAAAACCAGCAAGACTTTACATTTTGCAATCCTTATAAATCACATCGCATACATGTAAAGCAAATACGATGCAAGTTCTGGTTTACAAAAATTTGCAGAGCAATCGCTATATGCGTTTTGATCCTACTTTTCAATAATGCTTATTGTATGTACGGTTCTATCAAATTTAACATTGGAGGAGATTCATGTAAAGACTTCATCCAACCTTATTAAGAGTATTCAGAACGTTCAACGCTTCTAATCAAGTACGTATTTCATCTAGTAACTTCCAGTTTCTCTACGGCGCAGACTATTGTTATAATGTCTATCATCGATGGGCTCTTTCTACGTTACAAGGGCATAAACGTATTTTATCATTTGTGTGAGCTTTGGTAGAACTGCGTGTTAGTACTGACCTCCTATTAACATTGGCTGAAAGCACAAGGGCGTGCTGACCGTCGGGTATATGCTGATGGTCTGCCATTGCAACGCTGAGGTATAGTCCTAGCTATTCAGGAAACAGTACAATGCTGAATGGTGCTCGCGATATGCTTAATGATGTATTGAAATCCAAAATCACCTTGGCTTTCAACATTGCCATATATTGCGAGTATATCTAGCCCAATAGGCAAGCTTATGACATTCTTCTGCAGCCAAGCTTCATGATAACTTTTCTGCACATGGTCGTATCTGTGGATTCACCCCACCTATTCATGTGATTCATCTTTTGTCATTGTCTCCTAATATCATTAGAATGCTTCGACCATTTACATCAATGGTATACTGCAAAAGACGTTCCGCAAGGGGCACGGTCTACAAGATGGACGTCAGCACCAAAAGATCCCAAATTTTTAACTACATTTTTGATACACTTTTCCTTCCATACTATTTCCGCTGCCATCCATTTATGATCTCCAAGATTCCATTGATGCAGCAATAAATATTGAAGGCATGCCGATGCAAAATATAAAACGCTGTTGTGCTTGTGATGGTAAGAAAGTGATGCACATTTCTGAAGGTCTTAAGGAGTGTAGGCTTTGAGCTTCACACGTTGAACAACCATACAATCACTCATGGTAAAATCGAACAAAATCAGCAAGGTAAAGAAGATAGTTCAATAATCATAAACATCAATCTCAATATATTTTCCGTTTTCCCAAGGATGAAAAATCCTATTTCCTAGATTTTTTGATACCTTTAGCCTAAGTGAGGATCCGCTAGATGGTCGATGCGATGGCCTAGCGAAATTGTATCCATCCAAGTCCCGCAGCATAAAAAAGTGAGCAAAAGCCACCCCATAGCGAATTCTCTTTTGAGTTGCAGTTTTCCCATTCAATATGCTGGCATTGGAAGGATCCGTCTGCCATTTACAGTCCATTCAGCAATGGCTGCTCCAAAAGCAAGATACAGATTTGAATGTATCTTGCGGTCAGAAACGGCCTGCCAATGGCTTCATAGACGAAGTACAATCAAAGCGAGCCAAGGGTACCAAAAGATGTTTCGTCCGCACAGTTGACCTGACGCGGATTCGCCTGATCGGAGACATGAGTACTGCTATCGCGGAATATCCCTTATTCCCTCTTCAATTTGAGAACATGCAAGATACAGATTTAGTCGCCGTTTGGCAGCATAATGCTTTGGAAGATTTCGAGTATGCTACCCTTACAGTGGAATCGCGCGATGGCATGAGGTTGCTGGACAACGAGCTGTTACGGAGCAAGACAGACAGTTTGTGTGACAGAAATGTTGCTGCATTTTTTGAGCTTGCAAAGATGGATCAAGAGCAGATCATAATTGTTACAGATCTCCGACTGACATGCAAAAACACCGCATTCATTGCAGAAATGACAGTTCGCGTGGATATCGATGAATTTCGGTCTTCAAGATCTTTTCGTAAACTATTAAATCTAATCTACCCGTGTCCCGTGCTTGAGACGAATGCCACGGTTCATGATTTCCTCAAAAACTTGCAGCCTCCTGTGTCAACAGAAACAATTACCAGTTGCATACCTGACGATCTAGTTCCGACACTAACGCCATTCCAATCACAAAACGTTCAATGGATGGTGAGCTAATACTGTGCTACCTCGGATATCCATTAAATAACTTGATATAGCTCGGACGTGAAGGTCATGTAGCCCTAGCTAAAGGAGATATAAGATGTATTCCACAAGTCGCAAAACCGTTACCTTTCCTGTGGGAACGTCTTTTGCTGGATTCCAACCAGACAATCTATGTGAACCGTGTGTCTAATGAGATCTTGACGGAATGGACAGCAGAACTTGAGTATGCCTCTCGTCGTAAAATGCGTGGCGGTATCTTAGCCGATGAAATGGGTCTCGGAAAAACAGTTAGGTAAAAATGTTCCCTTTTTGGCTGATGGGCATTGGGTCCTATCTAACAAACCTAAGTGCGATAGCTTTAATATTGCTGCATAAGCTTCATCCCGACGATCCTTGTCTCTCCACTCCATCCGCAGACTTCCAAGAAAACCTCCCAATATCCAAAGCAACGCTGATCATCAGTTCACGTGCGATCTTTCAGCAATGGGAATCCGAAATAGGTCGGCACGCACCTCATCTTCGCGTCATGGTGTATAATGGCATCAAAGCACATAGTGCCGTTACACCAGAAGATCTATCCAGATACGACGTTGTACTTACTGACTATGAGGCAAGCGAGTGCATTGCACGGATGGAATTCGTATAGACATAATATAACGTATTTTCTTTCTTTTTTATTTTGCATACAGGTCCTGCAACGTGAAGTTTATTATGCTAGGCCAAAATCGGACCGGCCTCGACGCCATGGTAATAAAAGCGTTCAAGACAAACTCAGTTCGCCCTGACGCTTGTGCTTAATTTTAGTTGCGAAATATCCAATTGAAACTAGTCCATTAGTCAAAGTAAGGTGGTGGCGTTGTATGCTTGACGAGGTAATTGTATTATAGCAAAAAGCCGTCAAGCTATACTGACAAGTAATTATAGGCTCAAATGGTGGAATCGTCCGTAGCGCATACTGCAGAAATGGCCCGCCTTATTCCACGTATCTATTCCTGGGCTATTACAGGGACACCGATGGGGTCGAGATACGATGACTTGTTCGGACTCTACCTGTTCCTCGGGCTCACGCCTTGCTGCATCAAGGCAAACGTGTTTCGCCAACTTCACAAGCAAGCTGAGCTAAGAGGCTTATTCTGGGAGTTTACTAAAGAAACAATGAGACGCAATATGAAAGCGCTCCTACAAAATCAAGTCCATATCCCTCCTCAGCAACGATGGGTAGTCCATGTTTCCTTTTCAGCTATAGAGAAACATCGCTATGACGATCTGTGGGACCTATGCTGTGAAGAAACATCGCTAGACTGGCTTGAAGAAAATGGCTGGAACTTTCACGACAATCACGGCGAAGATATGCGTCGTACAAGACAGGCTATTTATGCTAAACTACGTTCTTGGGTTGGTTGCTATGTCTTGATCTTGGATAAAAAAAATTGATGGTTCTGTTTAGCTCTTAAGGTTACGTCAAACGTGTGTTCATCCTGGAGTTGGTGGCTACAGCAAGAGACAGATGGATGAGACCGTTCGT